CCCAGAAAATGATTAACATGATATCCTGAAGACTGATAAATCTGAAAATTAATTTGCCAGGTGTGTTTTGGGCTTCATGAGGGTCAAACTCTCCCATTGGAAGATTGATAAAATGATTGGTAAAGAGACTCCTAGTGGACACTTTCAAGATACCAACACCTGACTGTAGGAAGTCATTTTTAGGGTGCATATTTATTCAGATTTATATTTTTGTAAATGGTAAGCAAACAAATATATTTTTGGACAAGTAAAAACAAAACCCCAAACCTTGTTTAGATATCATCAGCTTTTACAAAGAGCATGATTATTATGAAATATAGTTATGTTTAACCATTCAACTTCATAATAATGTATTTGGTTTAAATAATAGGGTATCGTCCACCACCATTCTCAGAAAAGTTCTATCTAGTAGTAATTGAAAAAGACAGCAGTGGCTGCTCAGTTCTTCATATGTGGCATCTCCATCTTAAATCTGTGCAAGCTTGTATAGGTAAGTGATAGTATTTTCCCAGAGAGAGCAATAAATATTTGTTTTGTTTCTTTAAATTAAATGCCTTCTCTAGTCAACAAGATCACACCAAATTCCAAAGTTTTGCCAAGCAATCCAACTGCAAGTTTTTCCAAAATGTTCGTGTTAAAGGCCAGAGCATAGTTTCTGTTACCCGCTACATGAAAAGGTTGTTTTATATGTATATATAACTTTTTTATTTATAAATCATTGCGGACCATGCTGAAATGTAACTCAGTTTCAGTTGTACCATGCTGTTCAGATGAAGAAATTCTTGGCTAAAACATGAGAAACTTTAAAGTATCTAATAAGGTCAGTGAAAAATATTTGATGCAACTGATTGGCAGCTCAGGAAAGTTTTAATTCACTTTGTGCCAATAATAATGTAGAAGTTTTGTTAAAGGAAAAAGTACATTCTTTAAGCACAGGACATTTTATCTTAATGAGAATGCTCGAAAAGTTGAAAACAAACTATTTTCCAGGTAGAACAGGAGCAACCTGGATGTTTATCAGATACTTTTTATATGACTAATGTACTGCTAGGATAATGATCTTTGGGTATCATATGTCTTTACTTTAGTGTGCACATGAACAGTTACTCATCAAACTGATTATAATGTTTTTTTCAAGCAAAAACCACTGAAGTTACTTCATCAGAGAATCAACTTACTGTACCTGAACAAAAGACTGGGGACTCTTCTCCAGATACCTCACCTGGCACAAGTCCCATGACGCGATCCTCTTCGGTTGCTAACCTGCAGACTGCCAGTAAACTCATTCTGAGCTCTAAACTTGTCTACAGCCAACCACTAGATCTTCCATTTGGTGTAGAAGTAATAAGAGCAACCCCTTCAGCAGGTAAATTAACATTGCAGACTACAGCGAACAAAGTTTTGGGCAATTAAGTGGTTTCTACATAATACTGTATAGTACAACCTCAGGTTATGTCTAAGCTGACCATAGTGATAAGTAGAAGCCTGCCTTCAGTGTACCAAACATTTTGTAAATTTACATTTATTTTTTCCCAGCATGGGTAGTGTTTTTGAATTTGAGGAATTCAGCTATTGTGTAGGTCTCCTAAATCCAGAAAATATTAAAGAAAACAGTTGACCATAAAAAAAGACTATGCTGGCTTGTGTGACCCCTTTAATAAGAATATTTTATAAAGTTATCCGTTACATGTAAGTTCTCTCTTTATACAATCACTCCCCTCTCCCACACAGTTTCATATATTCCGTAAGGCATTCAGAAATGGCAATAATGCATCTTCTTGTGTGCATTTGTGAGAACACAAGCAGCATTGTCTGCATAGCATAATGTCCAATCCCAGAAGGGGTTTGGCATACTTTTATCCTATATTTTAACCCATATTAAAAAAAATTCCTCCAAGAACTTGCAATTCTTTCTCTCCTCATATCTTCATTTAAGTTACAAGAGTAATGGCTTTATTTCTTTAATGTCTGCATGGTGTTTCATTTTATTAATCATGAATTGTGTTGATCTTACTACTTTAGGCCACCTGAGCTCTTCATCAATATATCCGGTCTGCCTCGCACCATATTTGGTAGTAACTTCGTGTTCAGACGACAAAGTGCGGTTCTGGAGATGCAATGTAGAGATGGATCTAAATAGTAAAGATGAAATGAGGGAGACGTATCATTGGAGAAAATGGCCTTTAATGAATGATGAAGGAGAAGACAACAGCAGTACAGTGTGCATAATAGGAAGGCCAGTTGCTGTTAGCTGTTCTTATACAGGACGCCTTGCTGTGGCATACAAACAGCCTATACAGCATAATGGTTTTGTTTCCAAAGAATTTTCTATGCATGTTTGTATACTTGAATGCGAGTCTACAGGAGGATCTGAATGGGTTTTGGAACAGACAATTCATCTGGATGATTTAGTTAAGGTTGGGAATGTACTTGATTCAAGAGTCAGTGTAGATAGTAATTTATTTGTATACAGTAAATCAGATGCCTTTTTGAACAAGGACAAATATCTTATGCCCAATATCAAGCATTTGGTACATTTGGACTGGGTATCAAAAGAAGATGGTTCACATATACTTACAGTTGGGGTGGGCGCCAACATATTCATGTATGGGAGACTTTCAGGAATTGTAACAGAACAAATGAGCAGTAAAGAGGGAGTAGCCATTATTACTTTACCACTAGGTGGTAGCATAAAACTAGGTATAAAGTCCAAGTGGGTACTGCTGAGATCGATTGACTTGGTGTCCTCTGTAGATGGCACTCCTTCACTGCCAGTTTCCCTCTCTTGGGTAAGAGATGGTATACTGGTAGTGGGAATGGACTGTGAAATGCATGTATATGCACAGTGGAAACATGCTGTTAAATTTGGTGATGGTGAAGGTGATGCTTTTACCACTGAAGACTCAGCAATTCAAGATCCATTTAAAACGAGCTCAATAGTAAATAAGTCCCGTGTAATTGATGGGGCAGGTATTGTTGATGACGTTTTTGGCACTCCAACTGTAATTCAGGATGGTGGGCTTTTTGAAGCTGCGCATGTCCTTTCCCCTACTCTTCCACAGTATCACCCAACCCAGCTATTAGAACTGATGGATTTGGGTAAAGTTCGACGAGCCAAAGCCATACTATCCCATTTAGTTAAATGTATTGCAGGAGAAGTTGCAGTAGTTAAAGATGCAGAAACTGGGGAAGGTGGTGGACCTAAACGTCATCTCTCCCGAACCATTAGTGTAAGTGGCAGTACTGCAAAAGACACAATTACAGCTGGAAAAGATGGTACCCGAGACTACACAGAGATAGATTCTATTCCCCCATTGCCGTTGTATGCACTGCTTGCTGCAGATCAAGATACCACGTACAAAATTTCTGAAGAAACGTCTAAAGTAACTCCAGGCTCTGAAGATCTCACTAAAAGAAAACCAGGGGATCAATACTCAGATCTGTTCCAGATGCAGTCTGTCACAACCGATGACTTTATTGATTTTGAGCCTGAAAAGAGAGAGAGTAAATCCAAAATAATTAATCTCTCTCAATATGGGCCAACTTACTTTGGCCGAGAACATGCTAGCGTCCTCTCAAGTCATCTAATGCACTCAAGCTTGCCAGGCCTCACCCGTCTGGAGCAGATGTTCCTTGTAGCTTTGGCAGACACCGTGGCTACAACAAGTACTGAGCTTGATGAGAACAGAGATAAGACTTACTCAGGTTAGTGATGACTGTTTTCTAATTACTGTTCATGTATTTCAGCTGACAAATACAAAATTGGTTATCATGACCATTCATAGTATTAGGCAAACTTAGGTACCCATAAAAATGTGTTCGGTTAATAAAGCGAGAACCTAACACCACATATTCAGAGCAAATATAGCAGAAGCAGTGGTGGGCAAGCTTTTCCCACATGTTCTTCCTCAGTGGGTGCGTCTACATGAGATATTACTGTGCATTTATTTAGTACCTGTATAAACAAGTACTAAATAAATGTGCAGTAACTAGAGTTACTGCACCAGTAAGCGCCTTTTAAGTGACACTACTGTGCAGTAGCATCTCGGCATGGTTTTTGCCATGCAGCGCTGCTGTGTAGTCAGCATCTCATGTAGACATGCCCAGTGTAACTGAATCTTGGTCTGGTAGTAAGCAGAAAGATCAATTCAGTTCCCCTGCCTATTTTATTTTTGTCCTTTATGAAAACACTAGTGACATGTTATAGAGCACAGTCATTAGGAACTGAGCTAAAATTAATAATTCTCCTAAAATGCAAAAATAAAGGTATCTACGAGCTCTTTACAAGGTCTAAACCATTTAATATTCTCATTTCAGCAAATTTGTTCAGCTGTGAAGATTTTGCTGTATCCCTCAGATAAGTTCCAAAGTGAAGACAGCAGGTCCTTCTGAATGGAAGGCCCTGTGCTCTGAAATATACTTCTGTTTACAATCAAGAGTCCAACTATGGAAATTTTTAGAAAATTCTCCAAGATGTTTTTGTTTAAATAGGTTTAATTTTTCCCTCTCTATTGAGAATGTGTGTCAGTAATAGGATTGTATCATTTATTTAGTTTGTGCCATTTGTAAGCAATTTTTGATTTTGTAAAATGGTCAGATACAGTAATGATAGTTGCAATAGAAGTAAGTAAAATTCATTGATACGGCTGTTGATTTGTGTACAGGGACACAGATGAAAGTAACCTATCATTTAAAACTTTTGTTTGTTTTTTGATAAAAAGTAGCATAACTTTTTATGCTGCGCTTAAAATGGCAGATATTAAGATACAATTTTAATGATGCTGTAGCAAGTAGCTACACTTGTGGAACTTGTGTCTAGATAACTTCCTGGTTCAAGATTGTGAAGACAAGCCATGTGTTATAGAGTGATTGTAATGCCTTGTTACCTAATGGTAATTGGATTTAAATATTTTAGTCTGTCAAAAAAAGAAATAAACACACTATTGAATAGGAAGATTGTAGAATTTTCAGAATTTTCTACATACTTTGCATTTGGGAGGAAAATACTATTGAATAATTTTCACTTTAAAACATAGAACTTACTCTTTCACCCTAAGCACCTCACAAACTATGTGCAATTAGGTGTTTTCATTGAAAAGTATTTATCCAAAAATTTACAGGCACTTGTGTTCACCTGTGTTTAGAAGTCAATTTTTTGTATTTTGCAGGAAGAGACACATTAGATGAATGTGGCTTGCGTTATTTGTTGGCTATGCGTTTACATACGTGCCTTCTTACATCACTCCCACCTTTATATCGTGTTCAGCTGCTTCATCAAGGTAATCCCTGGAGCACTGCTTTATGTTCATGTGACCCAACTGAAAATGTTTCAACACTAACTTGATGATTCTAGTATTCATAGCTATAAATTTTGAATCAGATGTTCATTTAAACCTTGGTTCTTTAAAGACTACATATGCTTACCTGTTGTCACTCTGACATCACAACTTTATTAATATGGTGGCACACTACCCGGGCTGGCATTTAGATTGTCTGTTAGCTTAAAGTACTTTCCCAACTGCATAATTTTCAATCCCCTACATGGGGTAAAAAATTGTATTTTTAATAAATATCTCTGCTTTACTAAGGGATAATTTTCTAATTTTCATCCCAGTCACTTGCTTCTTGTTGAAGCAACAGCAGAGTGGATAGATAGTGTTCTGACATGAGACATAAAAAAGGAAGCAGAACCAAAGCAGCAGACAAGCATGTTTGTGGCCCCTGATTGGAGTCTGCTTAATATAGCAGTATACTATCACTCTTCCTCTGGGTAACCTTATAGCTCCAGCACATTCAGAAATGGGACAGGGGAAAAGAATGGTGAGAGCAGTGTAGCTTCTGTGCTGATCATCACCATCCTCACGTTACAGCTATAGTTAGGGCTGAAGCTGAAGGAAATGCTGTTACTGTACAGGTTTCACTATCAGTCGTATCAAGAAGCTGCCGAAGTAGGTCAGGCATCCTTTTCTTCCCTATAGCCTCTAGCCTTATTGTGGCACAATATACTTCCTTCACCAGCCTCTCTGTCTTTTATTACTGGTACATTTAAGCACACTTAATAAAAGTCCCCAAAGGTTTGGTAGAAGAATGAAGAGAAATCAGACAGGTATAGCCAGTGACAGAGGGAGCTGCAACTGCAGAAGAGTAAGCAGAGGGAAGAGTTTTAGCACCCCCCAGCCACCCAGAATGAGATGCCACTCCCTCAGTCCTGGAAGCATCAATACAGTTTCCTCCTCGTGATTACACATATAATTTGTGTGCATTGCAGGACTTCCCATTTAGAAGTGGATGCAGTAAATCAGTACTCTCACCTTGGTCAGCAGCATCTCCTCCTGCTGTGGGGAATAGTCCCTTGTGCTACACTCCAGGCCTGAGAGTCCACCACCATTTTGTTAATATGCCACCTTATTGAGAGAACTCCATGTAGTCATATTTTTCTCCCAAATCAGTGCCACATTTTTCTAAAATAAATTCAGAAAATTCACAATTATAATCAAAATGGTGAAAAGGAAATGAATACCATGGTTTATGTGTCATCCTTCATATGTTATTCATTTGTAGTATTGATTCCATTGCTTAGGAATGTTTAATCCTTTGAAACTAATTGTTCTGTATCATTATTCAGGCTTATCCACTTGTCATTTTGCCTGGGCTTTTCATTCAGAGGCTGAGGAGGAGTTGATCAACATAATTCCTGCTATTCAGAGAGGAGACCCACAGTGGTCTGAACTAAGAGCTATGGGTATAGGATGGTGGGTCAGGAATATTAATACACTCAGAAGATGCATTGAGAAGGTAACTGGAACCATACCTAAAACAGTATACTATTTTATGTATAGCCTGAGAAATATGTACAGTAAATTATATATAACGTATACTCTTCATAACAAAAAACCCCTATGAATTACAGAGCTAAAATTCCACAGTAGCCTAGAAGACTGAATTTCAGGTGTTTGGTTTTGGCACTGAAGCCCCTAGATACCTTTCTGTACAGATCTGGATCCTGTTTTTTAATCTGTGGTTTAGCTGATACCTTGGGAGTCTGTCCAAGTTTGAAGATTACCTAGCTTGTTTTTTCAGTTATTTTTGTTGCCAGGGAGTCTTATCAATGCCAAAATGCTAGCAGTGATTGATGGATGTCCTATCTAGCAATAACTACCTCATTCTCTTATCCAGCAGCAGAATATTGCAGGCCAGAATTGGAAGCAGCTGGGAACAAATAATTTCTGGACTACTCAGTGTTAACTCTTTACAACTTAATATATGAAACAGTTAGCTAACCATAAGCTTTAAATAATATCTTCCTTATTATACTCTTTTCATTTGTTAACTCTCCATTATTTCTCCAACTTTTAAAAAGTTACAGGATAGTAATGTTTCTGTCAGGCTGTCCAAGTGTATAAGTAAATCTTTGCATACCTTGGCTAGGGGCGAAGTTACATGTAACCCAGTTTAAGTGATTGGAAACTGGTTTAAACCTGTAACAGAACATACGTTCAGGTTCAAGCATATAAATCGCTTTCAAACTCGCCAAAACCAATTTAAGATAAACCTGGTTGGATGCAGTATTAGAATGAACTGATTTAGGTCAAACCAGTTTATGTCCTAGATACCTTCCTGGTTCAAGTTAACTCTTAGTCTGCCAGTATCCCAGGATGCTTTACAGCCCTGGGCTATGCTGTCTGCTCCACTGGAGCAGGGACTGCCTTGGCCCTCTGCTCCTTAGCCTGCTTCCTGCCTGTGTTCATCAGCCCAAAGGGGAAGTGGGGGCAGGGGAACAGGCCCCTAGACCCCCTAGCCAGGGTCTACATAGCATGTGGATGGAGGGAAAGCCCCTGTAGTGGGGGCTTTTCAACCCTTGCAGCCCTCCCTTTCTCCCCCTTCCAGCTGCTGATTGCTTCAGCAGCTGCCAGAGGAGCGAAGGAGAAGGAGGGTGCCTGGCTGGGTGCTTACTAGGGGTGTGCAAAACAGGCTGTATTTGATTTGGATTCAGCCCCAATTGGGGACAGTGATTCGATTCGTTGATTCGGATCATTGTCCCAATTCTATTCAGCCAAATCCAAATCTGAAGATTTTAGGCTGATTCAGAGAATCAGCGATTTGGCGATTGACACAGCTTTAGATGTTTTTTCTACATACCTCCAGGTACCAGGAGTGGCTCATGAATGCTGCGGTGGTGGGGCGGATAGGGCATCCCACAGGAGCGCGGGGGCACTGCATGCTTGGCGACTAACCCAGAAGTGGTCCAGAAGTACTTCCGGTCAACTTCCGGGTCTGCGGCCCCCCTACATCCTCCCAGCTTGGCAGTTGTCTGCGTGGGGATCCTGGGTACCGCCCCCCCCAGGCCCAGGAGGCACCAGTTCTGGCCCACTTCTGGGTCTTCTGCCGAGTGCACTGGGGAGCCCTCTGTGCTCCTGTGAGACACTCCATCTGCCCCAGCATCTCAGCATTCGTGAGTCACTTGGTACCTTGAGATACGTAGAAAAAACATTTAAAGCTATGTCTGTGTCCAAATTGTCGAATCTTTAGGAATCTCTCCAAATCAATTTGGAGGGTTACGATTCGATTCTGAGAGATTAAAGGGTCTCCTGATTTGATTCGGATTTGGAGATTTGGCCATCGAATCATGTCGAATCTCTGCCGAATTGAAACAGCAACCAAAGCTTCTCACAGCCCTAGTGACTACCCATGCAGCCCAACATGGGGACACTGGAGAGCCCCTGCCTTGGGGGGGGCTTCCCTTCAACTCAGCCCAGGGCAGCCCCAGGGAGCTGAGGGGAATTCTTCCCCTTCCAAACCCCAGAACTGCGTGCCTCAACCCCTGGGAGTGTCAGGCAGCCTCAGAGAACAGAGGGAAATTCTGCTTCTCCACAGCCGGGTTAGCCTCGGCTGCTATGAATCTGAGGCAAAACTAATTGCAGGGGAGTGGAAGAATTTCCCTCTGCTCCCTGAGGCTGCCCCAGGATATCTCGGAGACGTGCAGCAGCTCTGGGGTTCGGGAGGGGAAGAATTCCTCTCAGCTCCCTGGGGCTGCCCTGGGCTAGGGGACCCTGGGCTTGGGTGGGGAGAAGCCCTGCAAGGCGGGGGCTCCCTGGTGCCCCCATACTGGGCAGGCACCTGGCTGGGAGGACTTCTTCTCCCTCCATCCTGTGGCAGCTGCTGAAGCAATTAGCAGCTGGGAAGGGGGAGTGAGGGAATGCCCCTCAGCTCCCCAGGGCTACCTTGGCTGGGGATCCAGGCTGGGGGAGACCCCCCAAAGTGGGGCAGCACCCACAAAGGAGGCTCCTTCTTAACCCCTTGTGGGGGGCAGCAGGGGGTTGTGGGTGTGTCCTGGGGAACCAATCAGAGGCACTTGGCTGGGCTGGCAATGGCCAACAGGCTGGGAGATGTGCTCTAGCACCCCCTGCCTACCGGCCTGGGTCAGTGCAGGCCTCCCCCTGCTTTTCCCAATTGAAAACGGAATGTCAGTTCAGTTAGTTATAGGTTTATCCTGTGCAGCTTAAAGGAAGCTGCCTAGATTGAATCAATTCCGCCTCTGGCTTTTTGATTGTTTGTACTTAGCCCTAAAGTCATTACAGGCAGTCCTCGGACTTACAATACAATCGGTTCCTGAAAACTGCGTCTTAAGTCAAAATGTTGCAACTCGGACCCCGTTTTTTTTAAAGAAACAATGTTATAAATGGGGGATTTATAACCTGAACCAAGGCTTCTCAGGAGTCTTGGCTGCAGATTGAACAGCCAACTTGTTCGTTGGTGTGGCATCACATCGGATCAAGCATTGTAAAGTTGAAACTGACATCATAAAGTTGAAACAGGGTGTCAATTTATAAATGTTGTAAGTGTAAAACATTGTAACTCAGAATGTCGTAAGTCGAGGACTGCCTGTATGTGAAATGTTGTGCCAGTTTGAAATTAGTGCTAGTTTGTAACTTAAGTTGCCAGTTCCCTGCAGGGCATTTAGGAAAACACACAGACATTAACATTTAATTAAGCTAAAATAGATGTTCGTGATAGACAAAGCAACAACGAGTACATTTTCTAAATGGCAATGCTGGATTAAGTGCAAGATAACACTTACCTTGTATATACTGCTGGTGAAAATTCCCTTACCAGCTTTTCAGAGATGAAGCTTTTTTATTTGCTCAGTTATAATATTCTCCTTTGTGTTTGCTAAGTCTATGTAATAGTATTGTTTTTTCCAAAAATCTTAACAGGTGATTTATAGCATGGGGAGGTCACACAAATTATATAAATCATGACTTCTGCAAAGCATTCAGAAAACAAGTTACATAGCTTTATAGAAACAATGCAAAAATGATCCACACTATCCTTTCTAGCAGGGAGTATATGTATTTATAGCTGAAGGCAACTTTTTGCTCACAACAGTATGCTTTACTTGTTGTCCATCTACTGTAGGTTGCAAAAGCTTCATTCCAGAGGAATAATGATGCCTTGGATGCTGCACTTTTTTACCTTGCCATGAAAAAAAAAGCAGTGGTATGGGGTCTGTTTAGGTGAGTTTCATTAACATTTGTAATAATACAAATGAAAGTAAAAATATAAAACAACTCTTTTGGATTAAATGTTAATCTAAAGCAATCTTGAATCAAAAAAAGAGTCCAGAGGAAAACCACGCACACGATCAGAAGGCAGGAAAACAGGCCTTATGATGAGAGGCTGAGAGCTATGGGACTCTTCAGCTTGGAAAAGCGCAGGCTCAGGGGGGACCTGGTTCATAGATTCATAGATGATTCATAGATGTTAGGGTCGGAAGGGACCTCAATAGATCATCGAGTCCGACCCCCTGCATAGGCAGGAAAGAGT